AAAAAAAAAGAACCGCACTAACTCAAATATCATTACATCGTTTTTGTCTATTTTGTTTATTTTCCCCCAAGTTCAAATCTGACAGTTGAAATCAAAACTTTATTGAGATTTTCCTTCAATAGCAATCCCCTAAACAACCTGTTGACCTCTCTGTTTGCAAGTAAGGTCATCATCTAGGGTTAAGGGTCAACGACTGAGGCCATCGACTGAAAAAAATGGCCGTACTATAAATAAACAACTTGTTTTTAGTCTGTGTCCGATGCATAAAACTGATGACAGCATAGTAACTAGTCGCTTCGGAATAAAAACAACGATGTGGAGGGATTTATAGAGGAGTAGGCTACATGTTGTTATCTTAGTTACTGCCACCACTGCTTAATAAAGTCAAACTTTTACGTTTTTGCTCGTCATATATTGAGCGACTGGATTATTCGACTGAATTATCTGCCTGGTTTTTTCGACTGGATTATTTGACTGGTTTTTTTTTCGACTGAGATATTTCACTGATTTTATTGACTGATTTATTCGACTGAGCTATTTGACAGGTTTTATCGATATCATATAGCCCTACTCCCACCCCCTGACTATATACGCATATAGCTCAGTTTAAACATAGCATGTGTGTGTGGGGGCGGGGGGTACTATCCCCGGCCTAAACACCTAATTATCAGACTACTTTTGCCCCATAAATCGAACTTGAAACTATTTGGCAGGGGGGGGGGGGGGGTGCAAGCCCCCGGCTCTTTTACAGCTATGACTGTGTACTTGATATTATCTTATTATCTTTTGGCGTTTTTGTGAGTCGATTAGATTAAGTTTTGATTTGCTAGTACGATTTTGTATGATTTCGATTTGATTAGCTATGGTCCACAAATGTGAAATTTAATAATTACGATTTGGTAAGATGGCTGCCATCACGGACACCGATCAGAAAAAAAATTGTCTCTGCTAATTATTGATGACTTGTTAAAAACAAATAAAGGTTATCTACGCAAAAAAGGAAAAATGGTTGCCGTTAGAAACAATCTCCTACCTATGTCCAACAAGTTCAAGTATTTTTTTGAAAACTGAAGTGACAAAACATGTAAAAAGTTTACTGAGAAAACCTAGGATCGAGGAATATATTGAAAAAAAAACTGTAAATGAATAACATTGCTTCGAGGTGATCTAACATTCTTGTGGACTATAAAGTTAACATTAAACACTTCAAATGCGTTTTAAAAAAAACATTTTTTATGGAAAAAAACAACAATAAGCATTAAAAATTACTTACGACGTCGAACATTCCGCCATTTTGAAAAAGTCGAATCTAATCGCCTAAACACCTCCTGGGACGATTATGTCGATTTGCCTAATCGGTTGAGTTAAATCGTCTCACAAATGTAACGATTAGCATAATCAACTTGGTTCACAAATGCGTATAATAGCTAATCGGTCTAATGTAATCGGTTCACAAAAACGCCTTTAGTTCACTGACATTGCTGCTAATTATTGATCGACTGCTTTTATCGACTCAGATATTCGACTGGGCGCAGTGGAAAGAAAACTTCTTATCAAATAATTCTAATAATTCAGTCAATGGTTGTGTCAATTTAAACTGTCAAAAGCACATTGTCAACTTGATCTGGGATGAAGACCATGTGTGTGGATTTATCAAAAGACAACTGTGCTACATTTTACTATCTCAGTTTAATCCTATCAGAGTATTGTTTTCAGTTTTTCACCATCAGGTTCAGTGACTGGTTTTATCGACTGAGATATTCGACTGGTTTTATCGACTGAGATATTCGACTGGTTTTATATATAGAATAGCCCAATCATGCTCGTAGCCAGGGGCTTCACCCCCGCCCCTTCCAACTAAAAGTAGTCTTATGACCTAGGTATTTAGGTGATGCATGTACTTAACTGCAGAGTAATGTTTTTGACCCCGTCATCTAAGTGAATAGAATCCTACATATGCCTGTAGTCAGGGGCTGGGGATATTGGACGAGACAGGGTTTTTTTGTGACCTCGTCAAGTTGAATATTTCAGTCTATATTTCAGTCGAAAAAAGCAGTCGCTTGACTTGTTGGTGGAGAACCATATTTTATGAAGGACTAATGGGAGTGAACTAAAATAACACTAAGTAACCCGGAGCCACGGTGGCAAAGTGAGTAAGACGCTTGCTCGCTAGCCTGGAGGTCGCGGGTTCGTTCCCTATATTAGCCGAAAAAGTTCCTCAGGATTTTCCGGGTGGTTTCCCCTTGTCAGTGGGGCAGTACGGAAATGAATACAGATTCTTCGAATAGATCTTCAACACTTTATTTCAGGAGCAAATAAAAAACAGCTACAAGTAAACAACTTATAACTTCCTATAAATCGGTCCCCCAACTAAGCTGGTCTATCCAACTATAATTCACCCTACATACATTTGTCTTTTTATATAAATTAATTACTATGAAAGTGTTGAAATAAACATATAATTATTGAAGGATTAAGGCATATAAAACAATAGTTGAAGAAACTTAACAGATCAACCACTTTAGTTGCCAGTCTTTCATAATTTGACTGACAGGTTAATTACTGTCTGCCTCTTAAGACTAACCAAGCATTAATGAATATTAAAATATAGATTTGAAATTAAAAATAGAATTAAACAGTAATAAAATAACATATTATGACCTATACATTAGTCATCCACCTTACATCAAACAAAAACATGACCCCATGTTTTAATCATTAATACAATCAAAATCCTTATTTTTCCATTAATCAAAATAACATAATCTATAACTATTTTCACGATACTAATTTCTATTTCTGTACAAAGGATTCCTGCTGTAAGGCCTAAAATGTCTTAAGAACTTTTTCGGACACTTGTACAGGTGGATCTGCTGAACAAATGCCTACATATCTGTGATCTTGAGTCTTGACTGCTGGTGCTTTTGGCGCTAAAACTTGAAACATCTCGCATAGCTGCAACCTTTATCATCATGGCAATTGGCAGGATAACATATTGTTTCTCTTGTCGCCATTAACACAGGGTTATTAAAAACAGATACATCGTTAGTATCCGGAACATTTTGAACACCCGAATCCTTTTTACTGGAGGTCACAGAAACTTGTACTTTTTGGGCACCCTTTTCTGCAAAAAATTCCAGCTGTCGCTGTCTATCCCTACGTATTTGGGCAAAAGAACGATATTTCTTTTCCGGACTGGGTAATTAATTTTCTGAGAAGCCCTTTTTAAAGCTCATTTAAACCTCTGTTTGAGACTCCAAGACACTGACAGCTGATCAAGATTTCTTATTGCTGCTGAGGGAAGAATAAAGTTGATATCCATCCTTTCTTCTTCAATATATGTACAATTTGACTTGCAGGGAATGTAGCTCTTCGACGTATGTTCTCTTAGGATCAGAAATGAATACAGATTCTTGGAATGGATTTTCAACACTTTATTGCAGGGGCAAATACATAACAGCAACAATTAAACAACTTATAACTTCCTATAAATCGGACCCCCAACTACTATATAGATTTCCTAAGCTGGTCTCTCCTAGTAATGATTCATCTTACATACATAAAATCAGTCAATTAGTTCAGTCGATAAAATCAGTCAAATAGTTCAGTCATATAAACCCGTCACTCGGTATGACGAGGGAAAAAGTAAAGCATGACTTTATTAAGAAGCGGTGGCAATAACTAAGATAACACCTTAAAGTTTTAATTTGAACAATCAAATCTGAACATAAGGGAACATAAAAAATAGACAAAAACAATGATAAACGATATTGGAATTAGTGCGTTTTTTCTTTAACTTATATACAAACTATTCCAAAATTTTAATAAGCCATCGACTGGTTTATTCGACTGACTATTTGATTTGGACTTAGGGTTGACTCGGAATTTGTGAAACCAACTAACAAATGATATTTTAAATAAGGATGTTTGCGCAGTACATTCACATAAAAACTGCACTGTCTCCTTGTTTGTTTTTTGGGTGTTTTGGGGTTTTTTTTTTTGATACTTGTTATTTGTCACTCAGACTTGAATCTCAAAAGAGCAGATATGATGGACATATATCTATAGAATGTCTCCAAAACACATCTCTTAAATCAGTTTTATAAAATGAACTAAAGATATCATAAATGGGGATGCTTGGGCAGTTAATTCACATAAACGCTGCACTTTCTCCTTGTTTTTTTATATATTGGCAAATGACGAAAAACGAACTACTCGTTTTTCTATATTGAGACTTGAATCTAATAAAAGCAGATTTGAAGGATATTTATCTACAGTAGGCCTCCAAAACACCATACTCCCAGCAGTGTTTCGTTTGATTAGAGCTAATCCCACTAAACACTGCTTTAATGGAAGCAAATTTCTGTTGCAAATTATGACTGGTCAATAGACCGATTAACAACCAATAGCTAACTGCGTTACATTGTTATTACGCTTTAAACAAAGCCCTAAATTGGACCAAATATGTTTACATAACGTTACGTCATGACTCACGATTTTATTATGCCCAATTAACCAGTGCATAGCAGAATATTGCAGAAAAACTAATTGCGTGACAAACGAGTCTATAAACTCGTAAACAATGTAAACAATAGTGCATGGAGATGAACAAGATTTTCGCCATTTTTAATACCTTAAATCACTGTCCAAATATTTAGGGAAGACCCCAGATTAAACGAAGGGCTGCCATGTTGCTGTACTTGGGATAGATTTGATTGAACGGGGGAATACACACACTCCCTCAAAAGCTCAGGTATCAGAAGCCAATCCAGCAATGGCCAGAGAGGGATTTCTCGGGCCATTGCTTCAGGAATATGCCAAAACACATCTGATTAAATAAGTTTTCTAAATGGAGCTAACCAGTAACTCGTTTTTCGACATTCACAATACCAAAAAACAAAAGGCGAAAGTGTCTTTTTATATATTTGTACTGCTCAGGCATTCTGATTTATGATATATTTTGTTGTAAAAAACAAAAACGAAGCAAACAAGAAAAACAGATGATTTTTATTGACAATATCGGTGTTATTCGAGTTGGTCGTACAAACAGGAATGAACAGCTGAAAAATACAATCACAATAAAAAAAAAATAATTGTAAATCACGATAGGTTACCGGAACCCAAATGGTACACACTATTTCGTAGACAACCGTTCTGGTATACATTGGCGAGCAAACAGACGAAATACCACTATCTGGGCAAAATTCTCTTTTAGGACCATAGAAATAACAAATACCATGTTTTTGTCCAAACTACCGAGATAAGTGTCGGGGGGACGGCAAACGCCGGTCTGTTCAATAACATTATTAGCCTAATTGGTCGGCCTATGTAAAATGTTTTGATTCCGGCAATATTAGCAATCTATACGACCATCTGTTTCTCAGAAAAGTGAAGTAGATTTGTTTTTATATTTATTTCTCGGCGATTAAAGATACATTATGGCAGATTCGATAACGCGTTGGCAGTTATCACTATAATAGTTAAAAAATACTAGATAATGTAAAGGCAATTTGCTGAAAATTTCATTCAAATTGATCCACTATGAACCGAGAACAAATCGATTGAATTTCCGCCTAGCCTTGATCATCATTACTAAAGTCAGTACGATAAACAGCATAGTCTCGATTATCCATTTAATCGTTAAATCGTGAAGGAAAGTTATGCAGTAAATCGGCTCATAATCGACTAAAGTTCGCGGGCTAGCGATGCCATCGAGAGTTGATTATGGTCTGGATAAGTTAATTAATGTCTAATTAATAATTTAGATAACATTTCAGGCCTAAAGAACGACCTGCAATAGGCAGATTTAGATCTTTCATAATGTATGTTTAATAATTTAGATAACATTTCAGGCCTAAAGAAAGACCTATAATAGACAGATTTAACTCTTGCAAATGTATGTTTAAGATATATTTACCAATTAACTGGTGTGTCCATCGTTTACGCTCTTTCTACATACACCTTAAATAAAATTTAAAAAGTCAAAAACAATTCATTCACCGTACATGACGTCTTCGCAGCCATCTTTGTATCGAGACGTTATATCAAAATCTCTGTCAGTCGATGCGCAGTATTCCAAGACCCAAGCATGCCAAGTTTCCTGTCAACCGTACATGGAATGGCGGGGCTTTGGGCGTTTTTCGAAGAGCGTTAGCTTCAAACAGGAGTAGACAAACAACAACAAGTAGTTATTGTCGGAACGGTCTCCGAACGGAAGAAAAGAAGTCCTCTGAACGTTCCTGTCAGTTCCTATGCAAGTCTCTAACTCAATACCACCCACAATCTTCGACATAAGACGACTTATTGGTCAATTTAAATCAACATTGATATTGTCATTTTACCGTGAAAAGACGGGCTTCTGATATCCAGTATTTTAAGACAATATGAAAATTTTAAAATTGGCACGCGAATCGCGTGCCAGAATGTTTTAGAGCGCCATTTGTAATGAAGCTACTCGATGAACGAGGCTAAACATATCCCACAGTGCAACCGGTATAGACTGGAATAACCAGACGCCAAAGACAGTACAGTAAAAACAGAAACGATTGAGTATATACTGGAATAACCAGACGCCAAAGACAATACAGTAAAAACAGAAACGGTTAAATGTAAAGCAGTTTATATACTTTGCCATCTATATAATACATGTAGTTGTATCCATTGCTAGGTGGGGATCACGGTGGTTAAGTGGGTAAGACGCTGGCTCACTAGCCTGGAGGTCGGGTGTTCGATCCCTGCATTGGCCGAGAAAGTTCATCCAGATTTTCCGGTGTGGTTCCCCCTTGTTAGTGATGCAGGACGAAGGGCGTGCACGTAAAAGATCCCTTGACAGTTGGAATTCGATATAAGAGTAGGCCGTAGAGTAGGCAAAATTTCCCTCATAGCACACTGTATGGGTATGCTCATTTTCATTAGCCCAGTTCGGTGCAGAACAGTGGGACGTTAAACCCCATTTCATTTCCATTTCTATAGGTGCCAAAGAATAGCGATTTATGAAATAATGACAATACCGCGCAATACACTCGCCTCGCCAGGCTATTTTCCTTCGTTTCCCTTTTGGGCTGCGAAAGTTCCTCGGGATTATCAGGCCTGATGCGGGCTTTGTTAAAGACTGTGTCTAGTTGTTCGGATTGTACAAAAAAAAATGCGATGCCTTGTACGCATTAGCGTGTACAGTTGGAATTCGATATAAGAGTAGGCGGTACCGCCGCTGCCCGGGCAACATTTCCCGCGTAGCACACTACATGGCGTTTGCCCGTCTTCATTAGCCCAGTCGGGGAGAGAGAGAGAGAGAGAGAGAGAGAGAGAGAGAGAAATGGGGTTTAACGTCCACTCGACACAAACTATGTCATTTCGGGACTAACACATGGTTCAATTTTATTTCAATAATTCGCTTGCGCGTAGGGGTCTTTGGACAGGCGACCCTACTCCTTGTCGCGTACAACCGGGGAATCGAAACCCCGCCAGTTGACTCAATGACAGACCGTATGATACAGCGCGCGCGTGCTAACCATTCGGGCATCCAACTCCCCCTAGCCCAGTGCAGTGCAAGTAATAATAACCTTGACGCAACTACCGCGGTCACCCAGCCTCACAGGGTTGGATTCCGATGTCTGAACTGAATAGCCCTTAGGAATCATGGGAGAAATTGGGTTTAACGTCAACTCCACATCAACTGTAGGGTGGGGGAATTAACCGGAGGACTCGGAGAAAACCCACGAGGTTGGACAGTCGACCCTACTCCTCGTGACGTACAAGCGCAATCTGATTAAAATACAGATCTATATTTCGTTTCGTTTTTTTTTATACTTTCGATGGCCTACGCTACATGAAGATCTGATAAATTGTACTCGAAGGTCGTGGCATTGGCGTACGAGCGGCTTTTGGCCATATGACTTCAGACATTGATTGATAAATCAGCGTTGGCGTTTAGTGGTTTACCCACAGTTCCGTGCACCACACGCCAAAAGCTCGCTGTAACAGACCGTTTCATTGGCTAAACCCTCACATCATCCAGAACACGTCAATGATAACAACTCTTCCAGATCCTAGTGTAGTAAAGACAAGTAAAACAAAATTTTGAACTATAAAAAACGAAACGAAATAAGGTCTGTGTTTTAATCAGATTGGCACACTTGTTAAATCATTCGGCCACGTAACACCCCTCGGCTTACCTCTGATATCCATCACTCCACGACTGTCACAAATATAGCCATCAGCACAGGGACATGTACCATACCTTACGGTAGGTGAATACTTCGTAAACATCACACACTCTTAAAAACAAGATTTTCATCATATTTTGAGAACATCTGGTATCATTTCCTAATTGAGATGAGAATTTCTTTTTGCTACCAAACGTTGGAGTTGGGGACCGCGGTAGTCGATTGGCTAGGGAATTGGGGCCAAGATTAGAAGATTGCGGGTTCTAATCCCCATGTTGTCCAAGAGAAGAAGAATCACGGGATTGTTTAAGCGTGGCGCCATCTTGCCACAAAGAACGCCTGTTATATCTTGCCTAGTCTTTTGGAAGAGACAAAAAATCGGGTCTCAATACTGCTCACATTGCCGCGCATGTTTAAAATTTAAAAACAAACTCGAAGACTTGAATTCGATAAAAAAAAATAAAAAAAGCACGGATGCACTACTGTCCCGTTTTAACTACCCCCCCCCCCCACCGCCTCTCTACCTGCGCCACCAACCACGCCACCTCCCCTATAGCATGTCAGACAAAAAAAACCACTCAGTTAGTTTAGTATTCCCATTATGAACTTGAATAAGTCAACCTACTTTCATTTTCAGCAGCTCTGGGTGAACAATAACCGATTAGTTGTCTTTTACCCTCGAATGATATTTTGAATATACAACATTCATCAGAGTTACATTCCCCTGATGTCTTACAGGGTTGTTGAATTAACGCCTCGGTATTTAAAATACACACCACCTACAAATACAATATAATATATCACTTGTTACTTACAAATTATACAATACACTTACAAATTATACAATTTACATCACTTAAAAATTATACACTATACATCACTTACAAATTATACAATATATATCATATACATCACTTACAAATTATACACTATACATCACTTACAAATTATACATCACTTACAAATTATACAATATACATCACTTACAAATTATACAATATATGTATCACTCACAAATTATACAATATACATCACTCACAAATTATACAATATACATCACCTACAAATTATACAATATACATAACTTACAAATTATACAATATACATCACTTACAAATTATACAATATACATCACCTACAAAATATAAATCCCGATGATTTTCCCCGACCAATACCGTAGTCGAATACGTAACTTCCAGGTTAGCGAGCCAAACGTCCTACACCCACCGCGGTCCCGACGCTTGAAATGGGGTACATGTTATTCAGTTAGAAGCTCAACTTACCGGGGGGGGGGGTGGCTGAATGGTTAGCGTGTGCACGCTGTATCATTAAGTCTGTCATTGAGTCAACTGGCGTGGTTTCGAATCCCCGGTTGTACGTGACAAGGAGTAGGGTCGCCTGTCCAACCTCGTGGGTTTTCTCCGGGTCATCCGGTTTCCTCCCACTGCTAATAATCCCTACGGGCAAGTGAATTATTGAAATAAAATTAAACCATGTTAGTCCCGAAATGACCTAGTTTGTGTCGAGTGGACGTTAAACTCCATTTCTCTCTCTCTCTCTCCCTCTCTCTCTCTCTCTCTCTCAACTTACCAGAGTTGACAAGAGCAACATGTCGTTTTATAGTTTAGATTGTGATTGAAATATAAGTCTTCCACGGTTTCCCCAGATAAAATTCTTATCTTTATTTTTATACACTATTCGTCTATATACTCTGTGCTTGTGTTAAAGTTCCCATATTATGCAATAATATTTGATTCTTTGAGTTTTTCTTTTCTCCACTATTATCGTCCATTAAAGATACATTATGGGAGATAAGATAAAGAGATGGCAGTTCTCGCTATAATAGTTAAAAACTAGATAGTGTAAAGGTAATTTGCTGAAAATTTCAGTCAAATTGATCCACTATGAGCCGAGAAAGAAGCGGGTGAAAGTTTTGCATAGTCTCGGTCATCATTACTAAAATCATTAATATAAACAGCATAGTCTCGATTGTCCACTTTTTTAAATTTAATTATCAATGGCCGTTAGCGGCATATAGGAATCTAATCCAGCCAAAATCGAAGACTAGCCTTGACATCGAGAGTTTATTATGGTCTGGATAAGTTAATTAATGTCTAATTGATAATTTAGATAACATTTCAGGCCTAAAGAAAGACTTGTAATAAGCAGATTTTGCTCTTGCATAATGCATGTTTAAACCAAACATATATATATCTGCATGTGTGTGCTTGCGTTAAAGTTTCCATATATTCCAAAAACATTGTGAGTATTCAGTTTTTTTTTATTGATTATTTTTTATTTTTATAAAAGTTTTAAAAAATATAGAGCTGTGATGGACCTACTTGTTTGAAATAGGCTATCGCTCACATTGGTGGCTCGGTTCGTATGTCATTATAGTACAGTGGTTAAGGAATATTTTCCACTTCCAACTAGAAATTCAATCTGATTAAAATACGGATCTATAGTTCGTTTCATTTTTTTTTATATATTCGATGGCCTCTACTACGGAGAACGCTAGATCGGGGACGGTCCTGCTCATATGACGTCATGTGTGGATTGTGCGTTGGGGTTAGGGTAAGGTTTGGTCCAGGGTTAGGGCTAGTGTACGAAAGTACAGTAGCGCCGAAAAATATTTACGAAGTATGAAAATTTGCAGGTCCTAATCCTTACCGTAACCCTAAGTCACAATCCAAGCTTTTGACGTCATATGTGCTAAAATATGCAGGACCGTCTCCGATCTAGCCTTCTCCCTCTACGTTATGGAGGTCTGACCAGTTGTAGTGGAGTGTCGCGTCAGGGGTCATACGAACGGCTTTTAACCTGTGACGTCAGACATTTGATAAGGTTTCCAATCTCACAGTTACGTGCACCGCACATCAACGAGAACGCGGGTTATATAACAACTCTTCCAGATCCCAGTGCAGTAATAAAAGACAAATAAAAATACGATCTGGTTAAAACACAGATCCTATTTCGTTTCGCTTTTATAGTTCAAAATTTCGTTTTACTTGTCATTACTACACTTGGATCTGGAAGAGTTGTTATTTAACTCGTGTTCTGAATGATGTCAGGAATAAGCCAATGAAACGGTCTGTTACGGCGAGCTTTGGGCGTGTTTTTCACGGAACTGTGGGTAATCCACTAGTAACAACAATGCTGATTGGTTAATCAAATGTCTGACGTCATAAGGTCATAAGTCGGTCTTTTGACCCCTGACGTGATCTATCGCTATAACTTGTCAGATCTTCATGTAGCATAGGGCATCGAATTTATAAAAAAACGAAACGAAATATAGATCTGTATTTTAATCAGATTGCTACTAATCAAGAGGCGTGGTTCTCCCTTGTCAGTGATGCAGGACGGAGGGGCTGACAAGGAAAGCTGTCTAGTCGTTCGGATGGGACGAAAACCGAGGTCCCGTGTACACATTGGCGTGCACGTAAAAGATCCCTTGGCAGTTGGAATTCGATATAAGAGTAGGCCGTAGTGCCGCTGTCCGGGCAAAATTTCCCTCATAGCACACTGTATGGCGTATGCCCGTCTTCATTAGCCCAGGTTAGGAGCAGAACAGTAGGACGTTAAACTCCATTTCATTTCATTTCATACTAATCAAGAGGACGTTATGGGTTTGTTTTTTTGGGGGGGGTTTTGTTTTCTTTTGTTTTGTTTTTTTGGTTTTTTTATCTTGGACTGTCTATCTATCCCGAGGATCATCGAGCTAAAGAAAAATATCTACTGCTCCATAATAACAGGAGGGCAGAGTGAAGCGGTGTGAGTCGTTACATATACCAATACCGTTTCCAACCTAAAATAAAATAAATTGTAAAATAAACGATAAAATCTTAAAAGCTTGGCAAAATTATAGTGATTGCTCCGTAACAACCATTGTTTTTTTTTGGGGGGGGGGGGTTTGGGGGGGGGGGGGTAAATAGCGGGTAATTTGTATGGACATAACGTGAACAAGTGGACAAATGCGAAAATATGTGCAATAATTTTTGTTATTGTTATTTTTAAAATAATAAAATATTAAAAATTCAATTTGCATGGACATAACGTGAAAAAGTGAACACATATGATAATACATGTGTTATTATTGTAATTGTTATTATTTCAATATAATAAGATATTAAAAATTTGAATAATACTCCTTTTTTGATATATGGGGTGAAACAACCCTATAGTAGTGTGATGAAACGACTCATGCAAATTTGTAATGAAACAGCCCGGGGTAAAACGGTTTGGGGATGAAAAGATCTGCACTCGGCAAACCTCAGCAGATTCCAGTACCCTCACCACTGATCTCTAGAGATCAGTGACCCTCACATCTACCCTAAATGTAGAGTAACGGAATCTGCCGAGGTTTGCCGAGTGAAAAGATCTGCTGCGGAAGCCATCTTTTGTGTCTTGATGTTTGAGTCTTAATAGTAAACAAACAATGCACGGCGCAATGGTGATTTGTGAATAATAGGCGCCTCCCTGAACATAACCTGTACATTTCAAGTCTTTACGTGAAAGCACTAGGTGTACGAAAGTACAGTAGCGCCGAAAAATATTTACGAAGTATGAAAACTAGGTATGTACATTATAATAAATTTAAAATCCTCCATTTTTTTCCAGGAATACTTGTTCTTTAATATTTTTTCATGGATTGGACGGAGTAGCCTACCAGTACCATCACATTCACAAACAATTGAAACTATTGAAACATCATTTGGATTAAATTGCCTTTCTTTTTCTGTTAGTGTTTAACGTCCGCTTCTACCAAAGTGATATCACAGAAAAGTTGTCTTATTTTTATTTTTTAAGGATGAGAAGGAGTCCCAATCTCCAAGTTCCAACTCCAAGCCACAAACATTATACGGCGTATACGCTCACACCAGGCATCAAAACCATGACCGCAGGACAGAGGTGACTGGCGGGCTATAGCTCGAAGTGCAACACTGTAGACCACTAACCCATCCCATGGCCATCTCACCCCCTCCTTATTTAATTGTTAAAGAGTAAGAAAGCCTTAAATTATATATAATATGTACTGGAGCCATAGTATGATAGTGGCCATGATGGTATCCTGGGATTTTGCCGTGTGAGGTTCCCCCTTGGCCATTGATACAGTTGCGAGTCTGACAATATAGTTGGGCCTTGGTCATTGATACAGTTGCAAGCCTGATAATATAGTAATAGTTGCATGCAATATGAAAATACTGATATGTTCATATTGCAGCTATACAGTATATAGGGACGGATAGGGGGGAGCCTACATGTTTACGTACTGGTAAAAAAAAATCTCTCATAGCACACTGCATTGCGATTGCCCATCTTCATTAGCCTGATTTGTGCTCATGCTGAAAAGTTTTCATTTCATCCTAATGACTATATGCTGTTCCTTGCCAGCTGTCTAGTCATTCAGATGGGACAAAAAAAAGGGGATCAGTGTACACATTGGCATTCATGTAACAGAGCCCTTGGTACAGTAGTTGGAATTCGGTATAAGAGTAGACCGTAGCGCCGCCGTCTAGGCAAAATTTTCCTCATTGCACACTGTATGGCGTATGCCCGTCTTAATTAGCCCAGTCGGAACAGAACAGCAGGACGTTAAACCCCATTTCAATTCATTTAATAAATGATTGAGGGGGGTTGGATGGCCGAATGGTTAGCGTGTGCACGTTGTATCATAAGATCTGTCATATAGTCAACAGGCGTGGTTTCAATTCCCCGATTGTATGTGACAAGGAGTAGGGTCACTGTCCAACCTCATGGGTTTTGTCCGGCTCCTCCAGTTCTCTCCCACTGCTAAAGAACCGTACACGCAAGCGAATTATTGAAATAAAATTGAACCATATGTTAGTCCCAAAATGACATAGTTTGCGTCGAGTGGACATTAAACCCATTTCTCTCTCTCTCTCTATCTTTAAAGGCTCAATACCACTCTTGTTGTAACTGAATAGTATGTCCCAATCTTTATTCTGGTCAACAAATTGTACTATTTTACAATATTCCAATTAACACACCTAATTTAAAAAATTGGAAAAATTCAACTAAATGATTTGAAAAGCCTGACGTAAAGCTTTTCAAATGTGACTTGGATTTAAAAATATTTTTGAACCCTCTGGACAAGTAAAATAGGATTTAATGGATAATTTACTCAACAGGTAGGACACTAACACATCTAGTACTTAGAATAAGGCTATTTTTTATTTTCTGGAGCTGTCAAGCCAGCAAGAGTGTTATTGTCCCTTTTATAAATGATTGTTTAATTATTATTATATTTCAGGCATGGTGTAATTCACTCCTACGGTCAGGCACCACCCGAATCTAATGAACCACATATTAAGAAACCTTTAAATGCTTTTATGTTGTTTATGAGAGAAATGCGACCACAAGTTCTAGCTGAGGGCATAATTTCAGAAGCTACGGCTGTTAATCAGAGTATAGGCAGAAGGGTTAGTACAGTTTTTATACGCCCTCATTGAAATGTGGTCGTATATTGTGGACGCTCTATAGGCTAAAGTTAATACACAGTGTTTAGGGTAATGAGACGAAGAAGCCTATTGATTTTCAGTGATTTTTAATAATTACTGTCGGAGTTATGGCCCTTGATCACTTCAAAAAATCTTGTGTTTAAGGTC